ATATTCTTTTTTTTTTTTTTTTTTTTTGGTTTTTCGAGACAGGGTTTCTCTGTGGCTTTGGAGCCTGTCCTGGAACTCGCTCTGTAGACCAGGTTGGTCTCGAACTCACAGAGATCCACCTGCCTCTGCCTCCCGAGTGCTGGGATTAAAGGCGTGCGCCACCACCGCCCGGCTTGTTCTGTCTTTTTGAATAATGCCATATTGAATACAGTGATGGTTTAAATTCGAATTGTTTTCAAATTTTCTCTTTTCTGATTATCTATTCATTTTGTTTGTTGTAGTCAATGGCCTTATTTGTTCAGGGCTTGGTTCTAGAAGCCACTTTCGTTCAGGAGAACATGTAATCATCGCTAAGACTCCTTCTCAGAGGGAGCTGTAAGCAGTGTCTGTCCCTCCTGCTAAGGTCCTAGTGATGAACCAAGGCACAATTCTGCTGTAATTCACTCTTGTTTATGAGTTTTCCAGGCTTCCTTAGAGCAGAAGTGAGGGCTTATTTACAGAGGTGTGGGTGCCCCTCCCCAGCAGGCCACACTGGAAAGTGTTTCCCAGTAGAGATGAGGGCTTTCCCGCAGCCACCTAGCTGGAGCTGCTTTCCGGTCTCCCCTGGCCTGTATACTCTAGCCCCTCCAGGAGGCCATGTGGAATTAAGGCCGAGTTGACCGAAACAGGTGGTAGGGAAGCTGGAGCCACAGGTGACCACCTCCTACTACTGTACTCCATTGGGGGACAGACAGTCAGCAAGCCCAGCTGGGATGACTCTGCTGAGAGTGCAGGGGAACTCCCAAGATGGTAGTTGTTTGGCCTGGAGAACAGTCACTCACAAGTCATCAAATTGTTAGAAGCAGAGATGCAAAACAAAGCTTCCAGTGCTGGTACCATATTCGTGAGCTAGTGTAAGGACTTGAGACTAGTGCGTACATTGGCACACGTACCTGTCACGCAAGCTCCTTGCCATTCTGATATGTAAGAACAGAGTTGGTATCTGTCTGCCAGCTTTTGTGTGAAAATGGGTCAAAATAATCATTCCCATGTGGCTCTGGATGAATATTGTCGTAAGCCACCTAGTGTATTTAATTGAATAATTTAAAACAAAACCGAGCAGGTTAGTGGTGGCTCACACCTTTAATCCCAGCACTCGGTTGGCAGAGGTAGGTGGATCTCTGAGTTTGAGGCCAGCCTGGTCTACAGAGCGAGTTCCAGGACAGCCAGGGCTATACAGAGAAACCCTGTCTTAAAACAAACAAACAAAAAAACCAAAATGAGAGCTGTCGTATATTTCTGGTGAGTTATGATGACCAGAAACTAATTATTACTACTTTTCCTCTCTTTTTAGACTTGGGCCTGGACCAGTATATAATAAAGCGCTTTGACGGAAAGGTAAGCAAACTGACACCCAGATGTCCTAATTTTTACTAAGAAGGTTTTCAAGTTCCTCTAGAATCATGTGTGACAGGTCCTAGAATTCCTGTTTAGCAACTGACAGAAGCGTGTTCAGGCTCAGAGGCCTGCATCTCCGGGAGATTCCACACAGGGAATCAAGCAGGTGTTCTCTGCGTTGGTTGGTCTGTTTCAATGTTTTTCCATGTAAGGTAACTCATGGTTTGCCTACTCTTATATTCAGACTGAATTCAGTGTTTGCTGACTTTCGAATATTAGCACCAAAGCCGTCATAAAGGTGAATGCGCTCCCAGTACGACATTCACACTTCATATGGACACCTGCCCTACTGGACCTTCTGACCTCTTATAGCAGTAACCCTAACTATAAAACCATAAAGATCTCTAAAGTGCTTTTGCAACAGTTATAAAGAATTCTCCCAATCTGCATGTTTACGTTGCTCTTTCAATTCTCTGTACCTGATGAAGAAATCACATTATACTACATTATCTTAGGTATTGAAAGGGAAACTTTCAATTTTAGTATCTCATAAAACTACCAGCTAAACATAGTTTTTTCCTTTCAGGATAAATTCTTCAAAATGAAAAAAGAAAAGTTTACACAGGTTCAGAATGACAGCAATATTTAAAAATATTTTTAATTAGAATATAATTATATCATTTTCCGTCTCCCTTCCCTCCCTCCAACCCCTCCTATGTACCAGGCTTCTTTCTCTGTTATTGTTACATGTATGTATAAATGCATAGATATATAAATACAATCTGCTGAATCTGTTTAGAGTTGCTTGTATGTAGATGATTTTAGAGCTGACCACTTGGAACTGGATAACCAATTAAGGGGCTCACCCTTGTAGGACAGCTAAATCTTCCTCTCTAGTTCTTTGTCTAGGGGTAGAAGCCTATGAGATTTCTTCATGTCTATTGGTGTGGTCAATGTTCACGTCTTGTTTAGGCAGCCATGTCGTTGAGGTACCATGGGTGTAACTTCCCCACCATTTCTAGGAGACACAACCTCACAGCAGACTTCCTGCTCTTCTGACTCTTAGCCGTCTCTATGCCCCCTTCTTCCGTAGCCTTGGCTGGAGTTGTGTTGGCTCCAGGGAACAGGTTCTGAAAGAGGAAATGTTCTAGAGAAATTCACTTTACTTTTTAAATAGGCAGTTCTCTGTCTCTGTGTGTCTGTCTATGCATGTGTATATCTGTCTTTCTATGTCTGTGTCTATCTGTGTCTGTCTGTGTCTGTGTCTTAGCTTAAGGAAACAAAAAACAAAAGCACAAAAAAACCTGGTAATTTAACATTTAATAAAGTCTATGATTTGACTACTAACAAACATTAGCTTATCTGATTACTTTCTTACTGAATTGTATGTTAAGGTTTATGTCAGGAAAAGCCAGGACAAATATAAAACAGTATTTCCTTGGCACTTTTAATTTTTATATAAATTTTATAGACCCCTTTACATGCAAATCGGGAAAGAATGACCCATTTGATACTGGCAAATAGCCGGGTAGTTTTACTGCACTGTTTGATTACTGCACATCCCTGATAAGAAGTGAATGAGGTGTCCCTACTTCAACTGATCGTCAATGAAGCTGGATTTGATTAAGCAGACTTCACGTTTCAGTGGGAGTCTTTTTTCTAGAGCCCTTTCTACTTTGTTAGTGATCACTAGCTCTTTAAGAATACTAGCTCTTTTTGGTTTGGTTTGGTTTGGTTGATTGGTTGGGTTTTTTTTTTTTTTTTTTTTGGCAAGGTTTCTCTGTATAACAGCCCTACCTGTCCTGGAACTCACTCTGTAGACCATACTGTCCTCAGACTCACAGACATCTGCCTGCCTCTGCCTCCCGAGTGCAAGAATACCAGCTTTTGTCTTTGGAGAAGAGACACAGAAGACACCGACCCTGCTTTTATCACCTATTGCTTTTCAAAGCTGTCTATAGAGTCTCGAGTATAGAACGTCTCTAGCTATTGTTGCTTGGAGAGCATGTTTTATAGACAAGTGATATTTTTAATACTCAGACTAAGATTGAAAGTTTTGAAAGCATCAAATCTTTGATGACTTCAGATTTTGTCTGATGATACATTTCAAAAACCAAAAACCCTTTCGCAGTATTGGATATCTAACACAAGTGCACCAGCAGCTGAGATGTGCTCTGCCCTTTCTAGTCATTTTGCAAATAGCTTGTTTCAGTCATTAAGGGTGCTTGACAGCAAGCTCATAGCTTGGAGTCTCTTCCCAGTATCCACTTGATGGAAAGAGAACTGAGTCCTGCAGGCTGTGTTCTGACCTCCACAAGCACACCACCCTACACATAGACATAGGAACCACACACACACACACACACACACACACACCACCCTACACATGGACATATGAACCATACATACACACACACACATGAGCACACCACCCTAAACATGGACATATGAACCACATACACACACACCACCCTACACATGGGCATATGAACCATACATGCACACCACCCTACACATAGACATGTGAACCATACATACACACACACACACACGAGCACACCACCCTACACATGAACATATGAACCACACACATATACAAAAGCACACCATCCTACACATGGACATATGAACCACACACACACACACCACCCTACACATGGACATGTGAACCACACACACACACAATAAATGTAAAAAATTCCTTTAAAAATTAAGTAATTAATAACTTATTGGTACAATTAGAAATATAATATAGCATATAGAAATATGTCATATTTAAATGCACCCCTTTAATATGCATGTATTCCCCTATGATTCGTTAATATAGTCATTTCATGTACTATACATTACTTTTTATTAAAAAATTAAATTTTCATTTGATGTTTTTAGCATCTGGTAATTGCCCTATAAAACAAAGTGTCTATTTCTAAATGGAGTCTTATTTTTACAGCAGTGTCAAATACCTAATCTTAGTAGCTATCTCTCGTTGGTCTGACTTATTTCAAGTGCTTTCTAATCTTTGTTCCCCATTCTGTCTTACTCCTTTTTCTTGGCAATGTGAATAAGAAGTTGTGCTCTGTATTTTCTATCCCGTGACTTGTGGTAAGCAGCGCCCTGGCAATCAGACACCGCCACATTTTTGTTAGACATTGAAGTGGAGAACTGCATGGTGTAGATGTGGTTATTTCCCGAGCAGGCCTGCATCCACGCTGACATGCTGGCTCTAAGCTTTGATGTCACCCCGGGCTTCCAAAGATGATTATGTTCTTACCCTGTTTGCGAGCGCAGCAACAACATGTTCCCGTTGAAACGGACCGTTCATCGTCCATGCCTCGTTCCTCTCCCCTGTCTGTCTGTCTGTCTTTCTCATTTATGATAGGGATTGAACCCAGAGCCTCCATATGCTCTACCACTAAACTGCTACCTCAGCCCCAAAGTTCTTATAATAAAAGAAAACACTCAGTTGGGGCTGGCTTCCAGTTCAGAGGTCTAGTTCATTATCGGCATGTCAGGAAACTTGGTCTCTGCTGGCTGTGAGCAGGCCTTTTAAGTAAAATGTTGTTTCTGTTCTGAACAAAACCAGGAAGTTTTTTCCTCACTGTGATGATTCACTGGGTCAGATGGAGCACCATTTGAATAGCACTGGTTATGATGATAACCTGATAACTTTTTTTATGAAGCCAAAGTTCAGCTTGTAATTAAACTGTTAGAACACTCAGGTGCTGAGTCAGCATTTCTGGAAGGCCTTTGAGCTAGCAGTATAGCACGGTAGAGCACAGACTCCAACCCGGGCGGGGCTCTCAGTTCGATTCCTGACAAAAGTTAATTCCTTGACACTTGCTAATTTTCCATTTTATTTTCCCATCTTCTTTCCTACTCAATGGTTTCAAAATAATTTTTCATTTTTCTCTTACAAATTAGCTTCAGTTATTTTTCCACACGGTATCACTAAAACAATAATAATGATAATCATAGTAATACTAAGGAACCCTAGTTCTGGCGTGTGATCTCCTCATTTCCCAAGGCATTTATTTCTGTGCCGTCCATTCCCTCATTGGACACCCATGTGTAAGTGGTCGGTGGATGATCTAAGACACGCTGGACTGGGGCGAGAAATGCAGCCCCATTCGTTGTCCGCTGTAGTGTAACATGGCGTGTAACAGAACAGGGTGTTGACTTCAGATTATCACGTCATCCTTCAGATACGGCTCTGCCGCAGGGTTGATGGTAAAGACGCTGTAACCGCTCGTCTCCTGCTTTATCAAAGAACTGGGACAGTGGGAAAGCGACTCTGCCCGCTCGTAGCTTTCTGCATGGTTATGAGCGTGTTCCCCTATGGAAGGACTCCCTGCTAATATGTCCGTTATCTTTCCTGCGTGTAATTGTTCTCAGTTCAGTCGTCGGGAAAAGCCTCCTGTGCTGTCTTTGACTGCATCGTTTTATATAGGTTCTCCATTTACCCCCAGGGAGATCTGGGCTCTTCATTCACGGGGGTTCCTCCCACCCCTTCTGCCTCATCAGTCCCCACTGTGGACTCATACATTGCTTATTGCACCTGTTTTTCACTCAAGAACTTTTGCAATGATACTGAGCTTGGTTTCTAAATGATGGTAAGTTTAGGTCAAAATTTATTTCACAGCCAGTGAAGTTTACTTACATTAAAAAAAAAGATTTCTTTAAATCACTTGATATTTGGAGTGGAGCTAGGACCAGGATAAGTTAGCTAACCTGACCTGCTCCCTCAGATGGCAGCCACGGACATGATGGCGCTCTTCATTACACAAGGACAGCCCCTATTCAGCGGAACATAAAGGGGTACATGTTCCGTCTGTTCTGAACTGCTCCGCTGCACAGTTACTGATGCTCTGCACTTATCCAGGTCTGGTTGTTTATGTGTTGGGGTGAATGGCAAAGCAAGCAATTTGGCATGAAGTTGAAATAAGCATCGCTAAAATTGTGAGGCATCTTAATAGGAAGCCTTCATTCCAGAAATGCTTTGA